ACCCGTGGGATACGCCAGGTATTTCACTTCAATTCAGAATCACCGTTTTGAGCATGATTTAGCCTACACCCTCGCACTTTACTCGCTTTACCGTGTTTAGGCGGTAGAGGCTTATATAATAGCGAGATTGCAGCAAATGCAGAAAAAAAGACTGGGCTTTTTTGGGAGGTGGAGCCACCTGATTCTCAGAAGAACTCACTTTAATATGTATGTGACAACTGTTATTTGGGCGATAATCATTGGGAAAGCAAAAGATTCACGAAGTGGTGGTGTCCATTGTACTCTGGTCGCCTCACCGTGATTGAAAGCGAATGCCAACACCGCGACAGCACCTCCAAGTACCGTATCACTGAAGTAGTACCGTAAGGATTCCACACTAGAACAGCAAGGTAAGCAAAAGATTAATTAGGCTCCAACCTGACAAGAGTGCCCAGGATGAACAACCATCCGGCCGTAGTACCGGCAAGAGCAAATACAAGATCGATGTAGAAGTAGTGAGGGTTACCGATACCTTCAAAAGCTTCGTATACGACCCTATTGCATTGAAAGTGCTGGTGCACAAAACTACTTAGATATTACTAACAAAAATTGGAAGATTTCTTTACCTAACCTTCACAACTCTCGACGGGGCTCAAGTCACCTCTGTTGACGCTCCAGCATTGCTCCATTTTCCAGTTCATAGCACTCGTTATTCGCTTGAATTGCCTGTAGGCGAACGAGAGTATCACCTGAAATCAAACTAGAATTTGTTTCTTCGATAGTTTCGAATAATCTTTTGGTGCGGGTACGCTCGGGAAGTGGTATTTACAAAGGAGGTATTTGAGGTCGCGAAGCCCATTTTCAAACTGGTCTGTTGCATGCTCACACGGAACCCTCGAACGTGTAGATCGCTGCGCGCTTTTGCGAAGCCAAAGAAAGGGTAAACAATTGGCTGATATAATAGTTCAAATCCCTAAAACGACTAATGCTTATGCTTTTCTTAATTTATTTTTTTATGTTCAAGTCGGAAATTTTTGCCTGTACAAAAACATATTCAAAATCGCCCCTCTTTTGCCCGAAAAACAGAACGAGCTCTGAGAACTTCTTTTCGCTCCCTTTTGGCACCCTCAGGAGCGGGCAGTGAGAATGAACTACACTTTCCTGATCCCTATATGAACCTTCACAACGTGCAACAAACCATTTTTAAAATGGGCTTCACGCCCTGAAGCACTTCCCACTATATGAGGTGGCCTGTGATCAAAGTTGTATTCCACATGTACGGTAGGCATTTTGTCCTGACAATGAGCATGATGGAGCCAAGTAGCTCAGGGCTGAGAGATTAATTTCGAACATGGTAATTCTATTGGAATGATCTTGATTCGAGGGGCGGCAAATGGGACTATTGATTTCACCAATTTAGTCCTTTGGACCGCCCCCCCCCCCTCGAATTAATAAGGCCCTATTTTCGGTATAGTCGGGATTCTGTTATTCCTAGTCGTCAAGACAAGTATAAAATTAAGGATTGAAATTATCTTCATGTGTACGTTAACGTACAGCGTCTAAAGCATTTTACGGATCGTTTTGTATGTTACAGGTAATAGACATGTGGTAGCTACAGTGGCAGCTCTTACACTCGCGCCGGTCCTGGCTTTGATGCCGGGTTAGGACTCCCACTCAAGCCAACCAAGCCCTCATACCTCCCGGACTGCTAACTTGATACCAGATTTCGTCTGGCAAGGCATAAGAACCATGGGGCATATTGAAACTTATTCCTACCCCAAAAACTGAAAAAATAATTTTTTCGCTGAAACGTTGCCCATAGATGTAATTCGATGCCCTGATCACGAATATCACATTCATTTCGAGCGCTGGCGTATTTGGCGTAATATGTTTGATGCGCCCCATTTGCGCCCAACACTTTGTCACCAAAGCGATAAAGCTTACACATGCGGGTAATTGAGGTCCTGATTACGAATTCAACATTCATTTTTGGCGCTGGCGCCATTTGGCGCCATTACGCGCCAATTTGGCGCTATATTGGCGGATAATGGACTACCAAATTGCGCATGCGCTCATAAACCAGTGTGATATCGTGATCGATTTCGATAGAACCCCCAATATGAAAGTTTTCATTAACCTACGGTAAAAAGTGGTAAACCAGACAATATCTCAAACGAGTGGGCGCCAAATTGCGCACTAATGCGCCAAATAGAACGCCAGCGCTCGCATTAATGATGTGATATTCAGTGATCAGCTCCTCGAATTACTCTATAAGCAACGTTTCGAGACGAAAAAAATATTTGTCTGATGTTTTTGGGGTAGGATAGTTCAATAGGATAAAACACTGACTTGTACATCGGCTGGCCCCCGCAAGTCATTGTATAGGCCACATCGCATTCAATAAGCCACTACGATTCTGAATGGAAGTAGAATGCGTGCCGCATCCCACAAAGGATAACGGCGAAGACTTTTTTCTTTATCCTTATCAGTTCAATATCCCTTTTACGCGGCAAATAATGCGCAGTAGGTCCTCGAAAGTTCCATCAGTCGTTATCAGCAGTTTTATGATAAAATACCGTGACCGCCTGGGAATTCGACTAAAGTGATTAGCTGGATGCCATTACGAACACGTTTCGCTTGATTGCTGGGGTAAATCGAATTATCCCTTGTGCGGAATGATCCACCTCAACATAATCGATAGCGGAAAAATTCGCGACTGTAGGATAAGCATATTGAATGAATTGCCAGTCTACTGGTTATAGGTCTTTTCTTTTTCACCTCTTCGCCAAAAGTTTCGCCTCCTATGGCTGCAACAAGTGGCTCCGCCCCCAACAAGAAGCTCCGCCCACCTCGCAGGAACCCCTCCTACTTCTTAAAAATGTTCCCAATCGGCAGGCTAGGGTATCAATTAGCAGGCCGCACCCTCCCCACCCGAGACGAACCTTGCCTGATTTTTTTTTGTTGAGCGTGGCTAAAGCGGGAGAGGCCGTTGTGTCACTGCGCAAATGCGCATGTAAGGATTATTCACTGTGCAAAGATTGGATTAGAAAAAGAGACTTGAAGGAAAGGTATGAAATTCGATATTTCCATAACTTC